GACCAGGTTAGGAATATAATAAATATATAATTAGGAAGAATGGGACCAGGTTAGGAATATAATAAATATATAATAAGAAAGAATGGGACCAGGTTAGGAATATGATAAATATATATTAAGGAAGAATGGGACCAGGTTAAGAAAATGATACATATATATTTAGGAAGAATGGGACCAGGTTAGGAATATAATAAATATATATTTAGGAAGAATGGGATCAGGTTAGGAATATAATAAATATATATTTAGGAAGAATGGGATCAGGTTAGGAATATAATAAATAAATATTTAGGAAGAATGGGACCAGGTTAAGAAAATGATAAATATATATTTAGGAAGAATGGGACCAGGTTAGGAAAGCTGAGGACCCTGAAGAAGCTCCTGAGGAGGTTTATGATCACAGGTCTGGATGCCGTGTAATTCATAAGCACAGAATAGAGATTAGAATAGAACTTGTTCAGTCACCTTGAGCCTGAAAAGGAGTTCAAAGTGTACAATTCATGTAAATGTTACTGTTGACAAATTGGACGCATTACATCATAATAATACTGCATGATCCCTGGACATATTCGTTACAGTTTCTTCTTTTTATGAAGTTTATGCTGAAATGAACTCGGGAATGCATGCCAGGTTGTCATAGAATTGATTTAGAGAACAAGATTTTTTTTTATAAATCCCGACCTTTAGACTCAAACTGGCCTACCTTTGTACTCACACTTCCTTCATTAATCCCGACTATGGAATCACACTGCCTGTATTATTCCCGACCTTTCGAATCACACTGCCTGTATTAATCCCGACCTTTCGAATCACACAGCCTTCATTTTAGATCTTTATTTGACCGGCTGGAGGAGCAGAGGCTTAAAAAACAGGCTGATTGGGACGAGGAACATAAATTCAAAAATCAATTTAGGTTGGTTGAATTTTTTTGTCTGTTGGTTGCCAAGTTATTGCTTGAAATCCCCCCCCCCCCCCCCAGAATTATGGTTTATTTGCGCAGAGGTGGATTTAAAAATAACTATTTTTTATAAATAAATATTTGTTTAAAATCCATTAAAAAGGATGAAAAAACTTGCGTTTTGGTCTCCATTTTTTTTTACAGAGCATTAAAAATTTGTATTACTTAAAAATGTGCTTGTTTGACTAGTCATTATTAAGCTTGCTACAATTGTGTCGGAATTGTAAAAGATTCTAATAAAACTTTGAATTCAGGGGTTTAGATGATGAGGAAGTTGATTTTTTGGATAAAATAGATGATATCAGGTATTCAAATTTACTAATAATATATGACAAAAGAGCAGAGGACATGACAGAGATAGAAGTGGAGTGATAAGGGGTCGAAAATAAAAGACAAAGGTTAGGGGCCATAAACTTAAGAAAATTACGAAAGGGTGCAGGGTAGAAAGGTGATGGAGAACAAAAAAGTGAAAACAAGAATCAAAAGATAGAGGATAAATGGCAAGAAATTTAGGACATAAGACATTTGATAGAAAACAGAAAACTTGGGATAGAAGACATAAGACAATGGGTCTAGTACAGAAGACTGATGGTTTGGGTTTGTGTCAGAACAGAAGCTGAGAGGAAATTGATGATGGAGGAGAAGATGGAGCTGGAGGAGTACCAGAGGAAGCAGAACAAAATCAGGGAACAGGAACTAGAGGTAAATAGTACCAGAGGAAACAGGAACTAGAGGTAAATAGTACCGGAGGAAACAGGAACTAGAGGTAAATAGTAATAAAGGGAACAGGAACTAGAGGTAAATAGTACCAAAGGAAACAGGAGCTAGAGGTAAATAGTACAAGAGTAAACAGGAAATAGGGGTAAATTGTACCAGAGGAAACAGGAACTAGATGTAAATAGTACCAGAGGAAACAGGAAATAGATGTAAATAGTACTAGAAGAAACAGGGCAAATCCAGAGAATACAAACTAGATGTAAATAGCACCAGAGGAAACAGGAAATAGAGGTAAATAGGAAACAGGATGTTAAAAACAGAAACTAGGGAGTGGGGTGTCTTTGTCCTAAGAAATTCTCTAGGGTTTATCATTGATCCCCAACTTTTGAGACACTAAAATGGTAAGTATCTGCATGAAAACTAAAAGGGGTACCATATAATGTTCTAAAAACTTGCAAAACTGTTCCTGCGTCACATCAGCCGAGCTCTTTAAATATTGTAGACTGGAAAGGATGGTTTAATGTTATACAAATGTCAATGTTTAGAATCGTCTACGGCATGAGATTAAAGGACCGGATATAAAGCGAGCAGCTAAGGCCGGTGCTGGGCGGTCCAAGCAGCAAATGCTGCTTATGGGGGTTGTCAAACGAAAGAGCAGTGAGTCCAGTCAGGTAAATCAATTAATCAATTGATAAATTTAAATTTAAAATTCTTTTTTGAATGTTTGTTTTTGAAAATCTTTGCTTTTTTTTTAATTTTTTCTTTTTAATTGTTTTTTAGTCTGAAGAAAAGAAACCTAAGCTCGAGAAAGCCATCTGCCAGACAGAAAAAGTTGTAGCAAAAGAAAACATTCAACTTGATGCTTCCCAAACAAAAATGGTGCCTAAAACAGAAAATGCTGCAATTAAATTCGAGCAGGAAAATGCCGCAAAACTTACAGCGGCCAGTGGACTTATGAGTTTACTCGGGGATTACGGGTCAGACAGTGATGACGAATCATGAATTTTTTTTAAATCAACTGAATTCCAATAAAATGACCATTTTTCTGGTTCCAATTTTCCAAATCTTTGAAATGAATAATTTAATTATTGTTATTAAAAAAAAAAAACTATGCACTTTTTATAAATTTTTTATTAATAATTCCGAATTTTCATTGTTAATATATTGTTTTAATTGATCTCTTTTTATTTTTTTTTAATTGCATCATTTGCATGAAATGTAGCGAAATATTTGCAAAATTATCTTTGCAATCTTGTGACGATTTTTTAAATTGTAATATTTCAAAGTCAACGTTTGAAGGTTGTAGTAAATCAATGTAGGCAGAGGCTCAATTAACGATATTTTATCTGTCAATCTATAGAAAAAGCAATAATATGTTTAAAATGATTCAAATAACATATCTATGGTATAACAAGAAATCACGGTAATCTAAGGTAAATTTATCGTAAGTAAAAATCTTCTAGGTTTTTAAATCACAACTCTTTTAATTAAAGATCTATTTGAGTAGAAAACCCTGTTTTGAGTTTAAATTATGTGACCAAATAAATTTGGCTTTCTCATACTTGTGTAAAAATCCAAGCTAGAGGAGCTACGAGGTCCCAAAGTTGTACCGGCGAAGTAGCATAAATTTACATAAATTCTTCTGTCTAGTTTGCAGTGATTGATGCAACATATGTAATAAGAATATTTATTTTGGAATAAAAAGTAAGAATATCTGAGACAAAAAAGAAAGGAAGTCAACGAAAAATGAAGAAAAGAGGTCTTAAAGAGGATAAAAAAGAGAAGAAATCTATTTTCTCTGAATTACAATGATAGTTTAAATAAGCCGGATTAATGTAAATTGATTCATACTTTATTGTCGTCTTTTACCTTCAAAATAGATTGCAACATTGGTAACCTGATTTTAGCAATATATATTTTTAGGAAACAATTGTCAAAGAAAAGCCCTTGTCCTGCTGTTTCCAAAATGTTGTCCGCCATCATTAAAATCTAAACAAAATTCTTATATCTCTGGGATTCTGCAAGAAAATGACAAAACTATTTCTAAGATCAAAGACGACTTTTAAGTATCAATCAGTTAACATTCCGGGTTATTTAGACAATCACTGTATAAAAATTGTTTATGTTTAGATGATTTGGCAATTCTTATTTGTATTAAGTTCAAAATCGTTCCTAATAATTTGAGAACAGAGAAACTTATCTTTTTCCCTCTTTTAATTAGTTAATAATCTTTATCAACAATCTTAGTTAAAAGTAACAATATGGAAACAAATTGAAATTAAAGATAGAATTTCTTTGAACTCATACTGCAGCTCAAATGTCAAAAAAATGTCTGAAATGCCACAAATTCTGATTTTCTAATTCCTATATCTTTGCAACCTGGTGGTGTGAACCTTCAATATTTCAAACTATTATTATGTGATCTAAAAGAATTCATAGTTTGAAATATCAAAGGTCTCCGACATTGAATTGCAAAGATATTGGGATTAGAAAATCCGGGTTTGTGGCAAAAACTCAGTTCCTTTGTTCGAAATCTGGAGAAAGAAAAGATTATTTCATCGATTTGGGTTTTCAGGTGTTCTGAATTATTTAAGATTTTATTAAATAATCAAAATAACAGCTGTTTTTAAAGATTTTGTTTTTATACAGGGTGTCTCAAAAAAAACTGTGCAGTAGGGGTATTAGTAACTGAGGAAACAATTTTCGTTCAATTTTTACGATCAAGGTGTTATTCGAAAGCTCTATATTTCAGTTATTTCATGATGTAAAATTTTTATTTCTAGGCCTCATACTTTTTTTGTTACCACCAATTATTTGAGCGTAAGTCGAAAAACGATTTCCCGGATTTTTCAATTTTTCGATTTTTCACGTCTCATTTTCATTCGTTCATAAAGTATGGAAAAATTTAAAGATTTTCGAATTTTTTTTTGAAAATCATAAGCTGTTAGTCCACAGCTCGCTATTTTAATCAATTTTTTTTTATCTAACCCACCAGGGTACAAAAATAAAACATTTTTTGTGAATCTGAAATTACAAAATTTTTTTTTTAAAAGTCATCACTTTAATTAATAATATTTTTACTTTAGAAATGATGTTCACTCTTTCATTTGTTATTAGTCCATTTATCTGATATTAGGTATTAGGTAGTTAAATAGGCCAAAAATGTTGTAAGTTTTTTTTCAGGGGCCTTCTAAGGGACTGTTCACGCAAAAAAGAAAACATTCTCAAATGTAAACTATGTCTTAGAGAGCACAAGTCGTCCAAGGTATCGTTTTATAGGTAAAAGCATATGCATGTTTCAACAATGATATTGGTTTTTGAAAAAATTTACCACCGAGGTCATTATCCGCAAATTTGATTTCTAAGGGGTCATTTTAGGAGGTCAAATTATATTAATAGCACACAAACATCGTCATGGGTGTCTAAACAGGGGTAACCGCCCATGGTAAATCCATTTTCAATCTTTTTTTTTTAGAAAATTTGACTCCCGAGGTCACAGCTGCCTATTTTGACCTCCAAGTGGTCTTTTTGGAGGCCATATTATATCAATAGAGCACTCATACTGTCATGGGTACCGGGGCAAATCCACATGGTGAATCCATTCTTCCTATTCTTATGTCATTAACATTTCCGTCGACGGCACTTTTGACCTTTTTGACCTCCAAGTGGTCATTTTGGAGGTCATATTATGTCAATGGAGCACTCATCCCGTAATTGCGAATCGTTTCTTCTTATTTTTTGTCTATGCATGCTAAAGAAAATCCGCCGAATTTAGAGTAAAAAATTCCCAATTTTGGTCGCTCACTACAGGTGTTTCCTGGGCTTTTCTTAGAGTTTAGATTGAGAACAGTAGATGTGGTATTAAACTTTTTGACAATGTCTCGGACAGCTTGCTTAGATGGAACTCTGGATTGAGGGAATTTGACCGTAAAATCTCTTCGAATATTAAGGAATCTAGTATTCCTTCTCCCAATTGAATGTACGGTGTAAAGTTTATAGATAAACGATCTCTCACTTGGAGAGAACTGTGGTCGGGGCACCATTTAAGATTAATTTGAAAAAAATGGGAATTTTTTACTCTAAATTTGGCGAATTTTCTATAGCATGCATAGACAAAAAATGGTAAGAAACGATATCTCTGATATCCCTGATTTTTGGCCTATTTAACTACCTAATACCTTAAACCTATCATATAAATGGACTAAACAAATGAAAGCGGCGTAAACATCATTTCTAAAGTAAAAATATTACTAATTAAAGTGATAACGTTTTAAAAAAAAAAATTGTAATTTCAGATTCACAAAAAAATGTTTTATTTTTGTACCCTGGTGGGTTAGATAAAAAAAAAATTGATTAAAATAGCGAGCTGTAGATTGTACCAACTGATTTCAAAGAGAAAATTTAAAAAAAAAAATATTTTTGTGGTCTGTGCAAGGTTCGTACGGAGGTACCCGTAGCTTACTTTTCGTTTTTTTTCAATGCATATTTTTTTTTTTTAGATTGCTCTAGCTCCAAAAGTAATCATCGCTGATCCAAAATTTTAGTTGAAAATGAAATCTAAGACTAACAGCTTATGATTTTCAAAAAAAAATCGTAAATCTTTAAATTTTTCCATAATTTAAGAACGAATGAAAATGAGACGTGAAAAATCGAAAAATTGAAAAATCCGGGGAAATCGATTTTCGACTTACGCTCAAATAATTGGTTGTAACAAAAAGAAGTATGAGACCTAGAAAGAAAAATTTCACATCATGAAAATTGTTTCCTCAGTTACTAATACCCCTACTGCACCAGTTTTTTTTTTGAGACACCCTGTATCTTTAGAAAATGCGCAGTAGATATTTTTATCTCTCTGTTTACCCACAAAACAAAGTCTTAGAATTTGATAAAACTTTAAAGCTTAAATATACATTTTTATCATCTACGATATACACACAGGGTGTCCCAAAAAAAACTTTGCAGTAGGGTTATTGAGTGCTGAGGTAACAATTTTCGTTTTATTTCAACAATCAATCAATCAATCAATCAATCAATCAATGAATATTCTAAAACCGATTTAAGAATTTGGATATTCTATAACATGTAGGAAATTTTAAATCACTGGTCAAATATAGAACATTTAAAAATATATGTTTTAGAAAAATAGATTAATTATTGCAATAAAATTAGTTGTTGGTCCCAATATTCTCATGTTTATTGAGACCTCACATACAGGATAATAAGTAAAAATTAATTTAAAGATTTTATGATGCATATTATAGCCCTATTATTTATCCGAAGCCATAATTATCATGGGATCATGTGAGGCACCTCACATGATCCCATTGAAGTATGGATGCTCAAAATTGTAAAAAATTGTCTCCAAAAGTTTTTTGATTTTTGTCAAATTTTGAAAATGCACTAAAAAATGTTATTCAATCCGCAAACTTTTATTAGTTATTTTTTTACTGTATTAAGAGTTGCTTTTACTCACAGATAGAGCCACAATTAAAATTTGAAATAGAAGATGGGTAAAATCATTAAATGCAGATATATGAACGTGATAAAGGGCTGATATGATTCCGTCAAGCAACGATTTAAATTGAAGCATGAAGGTCACATAAAATAAAGTTCACAATCCTTTATTAGATTAATGGTAATTGTTGATGCAGAACCCGGTTAGAAGACTTTCTGATTGTTTGCTCAAATGTTTTTTTTAAATGTCATATTTAACTGATAATATTTCCACAATAATAGACATTGCAAGTACTTTTATTTCCACAACAAT